AACTCTCGGGGAGGGGCCTGGAAAAGAGGTGTTGGATAGAGGTGGGAGAGGTTGGGACGTTCTCTTCTGAATTGTGAATTTAGTCTCAGATTTTGGCGGCTGGAAAGACTACATAAATCTTGATCTCAAGCTGTTTACTGGATAGTTGAGGTTGCTAGCTTATGACCTTTTCCCCACTACGATGTAAATCTCTCCCACCCTCGCCAGTTTTGTTATGGAAAGGAAAGAATGAAAGTTTTCTCAGGGAAAATGAGAAGAAGGTGAATGCAGGAGAGCCTGGTTTGTCAGTCAACCACTGTTCTTGAAACCTAAGATGTCCTGAGCCCTGTGAAAGATCCAGGGGATGATGTGGGCCCTGCCTCCAAGGAGCTTAATATTCAGTTGGGAGAGAGCACTAACAGACCTGAAACCCTCAGCTGAAAGGTAGTAGAGAACTTTTGTATCCGGTGTGAGTTCAGAGAAGAGTGACTTGGGTCAGGAACGTGGAGCCAGCAGTGCTGGGATTCAAGTGGTGATTGAGTAGGTGGCCATGTAGTATCCACTGGAGAGACCAGACACATTGAGAGACCAAGGAGGAGGGTGAGGTGATGAAACCCCAGCTAGGAAGTGGCAGGGGTTGTGGAAAGACTTAGCAGCACGTCTGATAAACCCTTTCAAAGGCAGGATCGGTGAGGGTTTGTGACTAGGTCACAGACTGTTTGTTGTGTCTTCTGTGGTTGATTAAAATGCAGACTCTTGGGTTCTATTCCAGATATTATGATTCCCTTATTTAGTTTGGAGTGGTGTCCAGGAATGGCCCAGGTCATTCTGGTACAGATGACCAAGGATGAATAAGGCAAAGCTGATTAATTCCCCCATGAGAGGCAGACATTGGAAAGAGGCATCCAGCCTGATTTTTGTCATTATCACAGAACAGGTAGAGAACAGGTAAACTCTTAAGAATTAAGGAACATGGAAATGAGAACAGAAGTAGCCCCTCAGCTGGAGACGGTGTTTCTACAGTCCTCACCTTTCACCCAAGTCTGTCAATTCTCTTTCTTTTCCAGCCACTGTCACATCTGAGCACATCATGACGCTAAGTGAAATCAAGTTTGGGTTCAGCCCTCATGTGAGCCCGCCGGTTTTATGCCTAGGAAAGCTCTGTTCTTTGGGCTTTGTAACTCCAGGCAGAAACCCTATAAGGAGTGTGTGCATTGTCAAATGTGGTGAGCAAGACAATAAGGATCGTCAGTTAAAAAACACAAAACCAAAAACTGGTTAGTACGGTTATTAGAAGAACCTGGAGAAATCATAGTGGTACATACAGTTTAGCAGTTTCTGCACGTGTGAGAGCCAGCAGATTAGATCACTTCTCACATTGTAAACATTTGACATAGGAATGTTCTTTACAGATGAGCTTTGAATTGTTGCCTCTTGCCAACTCAATTACAGGAGCCATCCAGGGCTTACTTACGGAAAGACCCCAGTCTGTCCCCACTCCTGTCTTTTCCGTCAGGGAGGTAGGGTGCCTTCAGGCCACACCCTGCACCCACCGCAGTGATCATCACCTACAAATTGTTATTCACTTGAGCTTCCTCCAGCTCTCCTCTTGTCCATTTGTGTTTCTTCTCCCACCCCCCTTTTAGGGATAAATATCCCCCCTCCCTGCCTGCTCCCCAGACAAAAGGAATCACCCTGGGAATAGGTCAGGAGTAGTGGTTTGCAGTCCTGGCTAGGCATTAGAATCAGCCGGTCAGCTTTAAAAAGGGGCACCATTTGGGCTTCATCCCCAGAGATTTTGTTTTAATTCTTCTGGGCATCAGAATTTTTAAAGCCCTCTGGTGGGTGGTTAGGATTAAAAACCACCTCAGTGTAGTTAATAGATATAACAGTACCAACAGTACACCTGTCGCAAGGAAACAGCAAGATTTGAAATGGAAATAGGTATTTTTAAATAATGCCTTTTGGCCACTCAGGTCTCAGATGCAAACCGGATCCCCATAGCGTTCTCCTTCTCCCTATCTTCCTCCTTTATTTAAGCCTGCTTTCTATAAGCACCAGCATTCAAAATGAAACAAAGCAAAAACTAGAGCTTGCTTTTTTGTTTGCTGTAGGATTTCTGTGGTATTGTTTTCCACTCTGTCGTCAGAGCGGAGGGTGACCTGAGCCTCCTCACGACTCTCAGATGCAGCCGATTGGGACAGAATGGCCTCATCACCATGCTGTCTCGCCTCTCGGGGCCTCACTGTCTAGAGGAGCCTTACTCAGTGCCGCTGAGCCCTGTATACCCGCAGGAGATGGACTGTCTCATGAAATCCATGGTCACATGCTGTGGTCCATGAATGCATACAGAAGTCTTTGTTTTGTCATCTGAGGAGGCCCAATGCTAAATTTTTAGTAGGATACTTAAGAGAGGGAAAAAAAAATTTTTTTTTGTGTGTGTGTGTGAATTCTTAACTTCTGTTGGATAAACAACTTTGAAGCCTTTGTTCAGCCTTGAAAGCAAGTGATAACCAGGAAGTAAACCCTAATAATTCTCCTCAAAAGCATTTTAAGTTTTATTTTTTAAAGGCAATTGGAAATTAGATCCAAAAATAAAATGCTAGTGATGGATAATTGAAGGTCATCATTCTGCTAGTCTCTAAACTGTGTTTAAGTCCCATAAAAATTCCTTCTGCAAATGTGTTTTGTCATCCTTTGCATTTCACATGAGAATATTTGGTGGTGTAATGCTTCTTTTTCAAAACTTTCTTGGGCCCAGGAGTTGGATTGTGCATTTGAAAAGGCCTTTGAACAGAAGAATGCCCAAACACAAAAAGTAAAAAATTCCATCTTTTTGCTAATTGAAAATTGATTCTGAATGACAAAAAAATGAAAACTCGGTGTATAGTTTCCCTTCTGAGCCTGGTCAGTGAGTGATCTAACTGTAGTTATAAGTAACTTCTCAAACACCACTCCGAGTTCCTCTGGTCCCGTTTGACCTCCTCTTTTTCCTTTCTGTAATTACTGAATATGGCCCTTAAAACCCATGTAGGACCAAATACAGAATCTAAACTCTGTGATCTCACCACCACAAAAACAGGCTGTAGGGACAGTCCTTCTTCTCTCAGGAAGCCGCCTCCCCTTGGGAACTCTGTAACTCTGTAATTTATAGTGGCGCCTTTGTAGTCCTAAACTCAGAGAGGACTTTTCCCCTGGCCCTTACAGAAGAAGTATTACAAATGGGTTGCTCTCGGTGGAGAAGAGGCCAGAGAGAAAGTATGTGTGTGCATAACCTGTTAGAGATCTCCTTTTAAGGGCATACCCATCTGTGGGTCCTCTGGGCAGAGGGTCTATCTGACAGCGGGCACGTTGCGGAGTGTGATGGTTCCTCTTTTATACTTGTCTGTCGGCCGTGGTTGGGACAGATGAGATGCCTGCCTTTTCTGCTGAGGTGTGCTTTATGAAAGGAGCTTGGCTGCAGTCCTTGTAGCAGCTGTGAGATGGATTCCCTCCCCAGCTGCCAGAGCCCTCTGTAAAGTGGCAGGTGATGCTTTTTGTGAGTGAATAATAGGACACCTCAGATATTTGAGCTACTGTTCACCAGGTGGTGCTGTCCTGCAGTGAATGCTTAAATGCTACCCAGTGAGGTCAGCAAGTTAGGGAAAGAAGGAGCTGGGGTGCTCAGAAGCCTGGGCAGCATTTGTGAGCTGTTGCTGAACATGAGATGAGGTCTTTTGGAGAATGTGACATGGGGAGGAGATCACCTGGTCTCTTCCGCGTTCTGCTTGAGTGAGAGCTCAGCTGGCTCTGCATTGGGAGGAGACCGGAACCTGTCCCCTGCATCACCTGGTTTCCTCCCAGAGAAAAACGCCTGCACTCTGTTCTCAGCTTAGAAATCCTGATGGGTAAGGGGAGCATGTCTTCTAGAGCTCCTCATTCAACAGACTTCAAAGGGAGGAAAGGCCTCCGCCCAGCCTTTGCATGCACAAACCTCCTAGTACTCTGGCATCTTGCTAAGGTAATTTGGCTGCCTCAAACGTGACTACGCATGTTTTTGTCCCTTTTGTCAGTGAAGTCCGGCAGCGTTGCTGGCAGGAAAGAATTGACTTAGGTGAGAGCCTGGTTATCTGTGTGTTTGACCATGGATAGCACCCTCGAAAAAGGACATTTTCCCGAATCCGTGTAGCAGTAAAAAGAATAATTCCCAGGGAAACAGACGGAGGCAGTCACGGGAAACCTCTTGTTGGAATTCTTCAGTCCATAAGTCTGCACCAAGCATCTGCCTCTAGTTGTGACAAGAGCAGGAGGGTGGTGGAGGAGATGGCTGGTGAGATCAGTCCTTGAGAAACTGGTAGCAGGTGGGGGGAGGTCAAGGCAGAAGGAAGCAAATGCTAGCATTCAGGTACCAGCAACACTGTGTTCTGAGTGCACAGTAAGGACTGGTGAGGTGCCGTGGGGGTGGGGCGGCCCATGAGCTGTGCATGGAGGGTGACTAATGTCCAGAGATGGAGAGAGATGTTTCAGGATGAGGGAACAGGGAGAGCAAAAGCGTGAAACTGGGCGGTGTGTTCAGAAATGGTGAGTTGTGCTGAGAGCTGGGACCTGTGAAATACGGGAATGAGGTATTCTGGAGGACTTTAGAACCCTAGCGTTTTAGAGAAGTTCTTGGTTCCTTATCTTAAACCTTTGAGACATTTCATTGTATACTGGGCTGCAAAACTATTAGCATCACTTAGAGAAAACCTGAGATAGCGGAGGAGGTCAGTGGGACATAGTACTTTGCTCATGATAAGGGGCTTTCGGTAAATGTCCCCGGGCAGCTTGAACAGAAGGTATCTGAAGAAATGAGTTCTCTGGGTTTTGCCTCCCAATCACCCTGCTTTTCCCTGAGGTAAGAGTGTGTGCGTATATGCTGATGTCTCTTTCCTCTCTATCGTGGTGGCTTCTTTGGGATTTTTAGGGAGGTTGTAACTAGTTTTGTAAACTCTGTGCGTCTTGTCTCACGTGTGAGTGTGCTGACAGGTTTTCTTTCTTTCCAGTTTGCCTTCCAGCTTCCTGTGGTCAGCTTGTCCAGAGGAACTTGCCTTCTGCTCTCCAGTGAGATAACCTCTCTCTGCTGCAAGCAAGTGGAGTCTGGGGTGAGGCAGGTAAGCGAGACCTCTGAGGTGAGGGAGAATCTGTATTCTTGACAGACCAAGTTTTCCAAGATATGCTATTTTCTGAAAATTGTTAGGGCTTTGAAGGTAAATCGGGTTTTTATTGAAACAAATTTAAGGATAATTTTTTTACAAAAATCAGTGTCTAAGTTACTATGTTAAAGCACTTTTAATAATATGGATGTTTCAGTTACATTCTTTCAAAACTTTTCTAATTTTACTTATTTGTCCCCACTGCTGGGTTTTTTGCTCTTTTTATGGTGTCTGGCACAGTACTTTTGCACTGAACGCATTTAATATATGTTGAATAAATAGCTTAATATTTTGCTTTACAGTTTGCCTATATAGAAGTGCAAGTGATAAAAACTTTTCAGATTTTTAATAATGTCAGACTGGCTGTGTGATCATTATCATTGTCCTTCTCTTGTTCCCCATTCCCCATGAAAAACTTGGTGAAGTTTAATCACAAACCTCCCTTTAGCTACCAGGAGACAAACAACGAACGTGATTACAGCCTGCCTTATCCAACCACTCTTCCTAGGTTGTCATTTTAGGGTCACACCAGTTACAACTGGCTTAGGTTGTGTCTCCTGCCTCTTCTGCAGGCTGTCTCGTCAATTTATTCTGAGTTGTATTGTTCCCCTCCCCCAGGTTTCAAGGAGGACTTTTTAGTTGTGTGGCTTTGGGAACTTTTGGAAAAGTTGAACTGCTCCTGTACTATGGTTTTGCTGTGCTGTGGTCCTACGGGTAAACTGTGAAATGAAAATACCTACTCCAGGGATTTAGCGAGGCTGGAGGCTCCTTATGGGTTAAGATTGTTGTGTTATTCGTCTTCTTATTTCCATGCCCCACCTCCAATGTGTAGCATCTAGTAGGACTCAAATAGCCCTGTTTCCTTTAAGAAGAGAGAGACAGAATGGGCTCGAATGGCGTCTCCAGTCCCATCTTCAGTGAGCACAGCGTGGAGGATTGCTCTTGCTCACGCTCAGCTGCTCACAGTTGAGGCAGTGGATGGAGCAGGAGCCCCCCAGAAGTCCTGGACAGAATGGCTGACTGGGGGTGCTGAAGATTCTGCCATGGAGCCCTCCTCTAGGGGTGTTGGGAATACTCCTCCATAGGAGATGGGGATCAAGGTGAAATCTGCTTCCAAACCTCTGTGAATTCTTGAAACGTCCATGTGATGTGTGGGTGCATGCTGCCATCTGTCCGGTGTGGCTTGCTAACAGGATTTCATATTCTACTCAACCCTTCCTGCCATGTCTTGCTCATCCATGAAGAACAGAGTGACCACATTGCCCCCGAAATGTCGGGGGGATCCTTCCAAAAGCAGAGCTTCTCAACAGGAGCGTGGCAGGGCAGTGCACATCAGAATCTCCTTGAAGCTTTAAATATTAGGATACTGAGACTCACCCAGGTGTGCCGAACTAGAATTTCTGGCATAGGGAAGGAATCCTTGCTGTATAGGTTTGTTTCTTATTAAAAGCTCTTCAAAGGGTGATGGTGTGTAACTTCTTGAAAAATATTTTTGTATGTGGAGTAGACTTAAAAACAAAAACTCTTTCTCAGCCCGAGCAGATGTTTGGGGAGAATTATTTTTGAACTCTCCTAACTAGTTTAACCAGTTTATACTGCCAACCCAAACATTCCCTTGCTGTGCCATAATTTGCATCGCAGGACCATTTTATAACTTTAAAATTGCCTGTGACAACACTTTCTACGGTTGTTAAGTATACAAGGAATGAGGAAAATGACATTGAAGAACAGTTTACTAAATTTAACAAGAGCTTAGGCGTATTTAGAAATCCAGGTGGGAATCTGCTTAAATGGAATTTTACCTAAGTACGCAGAGATTTACATATTGAAACCGAGGCCTTTCGTCCTGTGGTAACACATTTCTCAAAGTAACATTGAACTAGCAATTTAAGTGTATTGCCCTTGGAGATTTATTGGACAGAGGAAGTTTATTTAGTAAGTTATACGTCTTTTTTTTTTTCCTCCTCCAGTTTTTGGATGGCAGAGAATTAGCTAATTCTTCTTTTCTCCTTCCTTGGGACCAACTTCAGGAAGTAGACAGGAGCTTAATAGGAAAGATCATTTTTAACAGTTTTTGTGATTTTTAACTGTTTCTTTTGCAAATTCCCTTTCTATGAAAGAAAACCTTGCTATTTGCGGTTTTATGACTTTGATGGTTTTGATGGAGGGTGGGGAGTTTTTATTTTGAAATAATTTACTGTTTAGGAGGGACCTTACAGATGACCTATCGTCTGGTTTCCATCATCTCAACTTCACGAAACTGCTGTTGTTAAGGTCACAAATGGCCTCTGATAGGACTCCTGATGTGACTTTTCTGTAGCACTGGACACTTCTGACCGCTCTTCATTTGCAACTTTCTCCTCTGGGTTCCTTTGCAACATGCTTGACTGCTTTTCTTTTCCTTCTTTCATTTCTTCCAAGGTCCTGCTGTGTCTACCCTTAAACATTCCTGTTCCCTAGGCTTTTATCCTTGGTGGTTTTGTTTTAGTCTGCTCAGCCTTTTTGGGGGGACCTCACTACTTCCATGACTTCAGCTACCACCCACATATAGTGGCCCTCGTCTCACTCTGAGTTCACCCTCATCTCAGTCCTTTGGGTATATTTCTCCTTGGATGACTCATATGTACTTTTAACTTGGGATATCCAAACTGAAACCATGTCCCTCCTAATTATTGCCTCCTTCCTCTCCCCCTCCTCCCGCAAATCCTCTCACCCCCGTGCGCTGCCTGCTTTCCCACTTTGGTCATTGGCATAATGCAAGCCAAAAGTGTGATTCATCCTTCATGCTCCCTCAGTCAGCCCCATATTTTAATTGGCAATTAAGTCCTTTCATTTTAATTTCCTAAATAAAAAAGGAAAAGGCCATTCTATGGACATTTTATTATTATGGGCTTTAAAAGTTGTACTTGGCAAATTGGTAGTCACCAAATAGTCACATGGATGTGAAATACAATATGGGAAATGTAATCAATAATGTTGTAAAGATTATGTAGGGTGCCTGATGGGTACTGGACTTATCAGGGGGATCTCTTCATAGATTGTGTAGATGCCTGACCAATGCGCTGTGCACTTGAAGCTGAAGTAGAATAATATTGAATGTAAACTAAAATATATAGTCACGGGATGTGGAGTACGACATAGGGAATACATTCAATGGTATTGTACAGCTGTATACAATGTCAGAGGAGTAGTAGACTGTGGGGGAGCTTACCACTTTGTGGAGGATGTAAGTATCTAAGTATGTTGTTTTGTACACCTGAAACTAATGTAGTAAAAATTTTTTTAAAAATTGTGCTTGGACCTATATAAGCAGATATAATAACATGACATAATTATGACCATTTACGTAATTTACATTTGATGCGAGGCATAGTCCTAGGTACTCGTCATGCGTTATTTCTCATTTTCACAACTATTCTGTGGTATATCATCTCTGTTATAAATGAGGAACCTAAGGTTCCTAGAGATGAAGTTACAGGCCCAGGCTCACAGTGGAGTTAGGATTTGGGGATTTTAAACCCATGGGTTGGTCTACGTGACTCCAGAGTCTTTGCCATCATGTCACTCTGTCTTGCTCTGTTCCCATAATGCCACGACGCTGTTTTAGATTTCTGGTGAATAGGTTGACTTTGGTGAAGGCTGGAACTGAGTCTTATTTATATTTGTGTGTCACGATGCATATTTTTTCTTACATAGTAGGTGCTAAGGACAAGAC